CTTTACTTCAGCAGTGAATTTTACCGTTATCTCCTTTCTAAAATTATATTTGTTCTAAGTAGTACGCCATTTTGAGCTCATCTAATTAGTATATCTTCTCCTAGATGCTTTCAATCATGCTCACCACTTAATGGCCTCAGTAGTCCTTTATAATATTTAAATCAGGATCTCCTTTTAAATTATTTAGAATTTAGAAATTTGTACATAGGGATTAGCTTCGGGAGCTATTTATTTATCTGTTCTCACCTCGTTTTCGCAACTTGGTCACGTTGTCAGGCTGGCCTAGTTGAATGGATCTTGTCCGAATTCTTTATCATTATTCCCCAGTATTGAAGCATCGACTTGGCACTTAATCAGACGTTTCTCCGGCGTCGTTATCGGCATTGTCAATGATTCTTGTCATTCTCAGCACCAATCTACATCTCGTCAAAGAGCCAAATCTGGGAAGGTGCAGAGTACATGATCTAATGCTGGGAATAGTGATACTTACTTTAGCAGAGGACTTCGGATAAGTCGCATCCAACTACCTGACAACTTAACAAAGTTGCCAAAATAGGTTTAGAGCTTTCTATACATTGAAATAAGACTGCAGCCAAAATAGAAGTCATAATAGCCTGATCCTCATATAGGCGTTTATATTGATCTATTATAGTATTTGGATTATACTTAGTTCGCTTATTATGATGGAGGATCGGATAAATAAGTATAAAACCTCAGGATGCTATAGAAGTTACCATTTGACACTCCTTGCAAGGCCTCTTATTCTATTGGGTGATGTAGTTGCTTGGAGTTACGAAACTAGTCATTATGGCTATGTAAAGGAAAGAGTTGAGGGAAAATACTTGCTTCAGCATCCCTTTTTAAGCTAAAATGCACCAAGATAAGTTAATCATTTTTTCCAACTTAAACCCAGCGGAGGCCAAAAGTTGTGATACAATACTACCAAAGGCTAAGTGATTGAGTAATCTTTTAAAAATATCATATTTATCTATCATCACCGTGTGCTCTTTTCCTTCAGCCTTATTTACTGGACAATCTTTGTGGACGGCATTATCCCTAATGGAACCATTATGGTAGCCCACATGACTGGCGAACAAGAGGCACCGCTCATTCAGCTGGAAGGTGGTCGTCCTTTGTCTCTCTCCTTTTCTCTCTATAGTGACGATAGCGTTAGTATGGCAAATGGGTTGGACAACACCGAGCGGGATTTGACTTCTGGACACCCGAGTGCAGGAAGACTATGTTGGTTCCAGCAGGCTGTGAACAGCGTGATTCGGAACACGGAGCTTCACTGTGCTAGACTCAATATAGACGGCCGTTCAATTTTGGAGAGCCAACTTGTTCGTCGCTTCAGCCCATCTGAAGAACCATCCTATGGCTTGGTCCAGATGCGGGATTCGATAATTTGGCCCAGTTCTGACAGGTGAATTGTATAAAATCAGATGTAAGAACTCATAAGAATATGCATAAGAGCTAAAGTGAATGCAAGTAGCCAATGCCAGTAAGTCCGTATCTACTTCCCAGATTTAGGCTCACGACTTTAAAGCTAGACTATATTTTATGTACAAGATGCGTTAAATACGAAATTTATTTTAGAGGGACTTTCATTCCGTATGAAAGTGCATGTAGAAGAGGTTCATAGGTCGATCTTACCAGCTGAATCCCGTTGTACTGCCGCCGTTTGACTTGTATACGAGATTCAGGTTGACGCAGTCCACGAGACCTCCTCCCTCGTTTCAGGCAAAAACCGGCTGAGTATTCGTCCATCATATGATGGACATCAGCAAAGCTGGAACTCATTCTTATAAAATTCTCAAGTTAACACTACTGCAAGAAGACTATCCGGCTCTATATTTCCTCTTAAATAGCCTCAAATATACAAAATAAATTAAAAAATCTAGATAGATAGAGAGTGGTTTGGCTAATTATCTTTCATACTGGTTCTGCTACTTTTGCTCGAGGCTCTGAGCATTAAGGCCTAATGACCTCAAAGAAAGCCCTGACCAAGACTGCGTAAGTCCGTAAGCAAATATGGTTGAGATAAGGAGATATGAGCTTATAAGCATGTAAGTCAAGTTACTAAACCACTTGTCCTAAACTCTCAGTTTAGGGTCATTAACGTTTAACAACCCAAGGAAAGGCAAGACTAAGGCTACATAATGAGTTCCGGCTCTAATGATGTCCATCATATGATGGACGAATGCTCAGCCCGTTTTCGCCCGAAACGAGGGAAGAGGTCTCATGGACTACGTCAACCTGAACCTCGTATAAAAGCCAAACGGCTGCAATACAAGGGGATTTAGCCAACCTTTTCTGGTGAGATCAATCTACAAATCTCATTTTCATGCACTTTCATACGAAGTAAAAGTCCCCCTAAAAATGCTATCTCATGAGATTCATCGAAACCCAGTTACTCTTCGTATCTACAATGCAAAATAAACCTAAATGGAAAAGCATGATATCTTCTTCCTTTGTAGCATAGCCAACTATGAAGAGTCTTATAATGGCCATCTCACCAAATTTTTGCCTTAATATAAAACATATATTATAAAATTATAAAAATTAAATGATTTACTTCGTTTAAGAAAGCATTTCGCATCGAAAAATTTAAATGAAGTGGCATAGCAAATTAATCTGTAGTGAATTGGGCTCCTATTTTACGTCTATACTAGCGACAGTTCGACTATAAAGTCCTCAGTTTGTAGGGATAACTCTAACAATTTAATAACAACAATGCCTATTTTATCCCATAATCTTGGCCTATAATAAATTATTTCAAAGAGTCCTACGCTACTCTTTTTCATCAACATTAAACTCCCCTAATAAAACAATCATTATGGAAGACGATGTTTCAAATGATTAAGTTCAAAGGATATTTTAAATACCCTCATCGCAATGCTTGAAAAATTGTTTCCGCATTTATATTGCTCTTAAGCTTCGGATGCATTTTAAATATGTTCTTGCAATTTTCTTAAATATCTATTGAAATCCCCTAACACAGTTTATCTTCTTTTTCAGCAAACTTATCTACTTTACAAATCCGGAGAGAAAGCTTCGTGTCAAGCATATTTGTTGTGCAAATAGATTCCAATCCATAGCTATCGTGGAGAAATGCCCTTCAGGTAAAATATTCATAAAGCGAATGACTAAAATGTAGTAAAGCAGAATTTTTAAA